ATTTATCATACGTATAGAAGAAATAGGGTCCCCGTTTCAGAACAAAATTTATTGAATTCTATACATAAGAACAAAATGAAATAATATGTTGTAACTCAAAAGGTGATTCTTTTCCCACTTGAAAATAAATGAGAAAGCTAAAAAGATTAGTGTGTGTTTGGGGTGCCTTTTTTCATGAAAAGCGAACAACAGCCATGCTGAATAGACCAACGACTAGTCTAGGAGAACTTGCCTTCAGTCACCAAGCAAGATGGCCACGGAAAGATCATAATCAAGGTGTAGGAAAAACAATATGCTTTTGCTCCTCTTCCCTAGGAACTGGTATTATATTCTGTTTTACATGCTAGGGACTGCATATACCATATATACTCAAGAATAAGCCAACACGAATATAAGCCGAGGCACCTAATTTTACCACAAAAAAACTGGGAAACCTATTGACTCGAGTATAAGCCGAAGGAGGGAAATGCAGCAGCTACTGGTAAAATTCAAAATAAAAATATATACCAATAAAATTACATTAACTGAGGCATCAGAAGGTTAAATGTTTTTGAATATTTACATAAAACTGTAATTTAAGATAAGACTGCCCAACTCTGATTAAACCATTATTCAAACCTTCTTCAATGTAAATGTGCTTACGTGTCCTTCCAATAATGATAGAGAGTAAAATATTAAATGTAATAATAATAGAGTAAAATAATGAAAATGTAATAACAGTAATAATATAGAAAAAGAATAAATGTAATTAAAATAATAAGAATAAAATAATGTAAATGCAATAATATTAAATAGATAAAATAATAAATGCAATACAATAATAATAATAATAATAATAATAATAATAGAATAATGGTCGTGGCCAGGGTTTCGTGTGGATAATAATAGAATAAAATAAAAAATGTAATAATAACAGAATAATATAATAACTTTGACTTGAGTATAAGCTGAGGGGGGGCGGGGTTCTCAGCCAAAAAGAGGGCTGAAAAACTCAGCTTATACTCGAGTATATACGGTATGCACCAAGTGTAATGCATACCGTATATACTCGAGTATAAGCTGAGTTTTTCAGCCCTCTTTTTGGCTGAGAACCCCGCCCCCCCTCGGCTTATTCTCAAGTCAAAGTTATTATATTATTATATTATTCTGTTATTATTACATTTATTATTTTATTCTATTATTATTATTATTATTATTATTATTATTGTATTGCATTTATTATTTGAATTCTTTCCATATTATTTCTCCCCTTGGTGTCAAATAGAATTGCACCAGAAGACCTAGCAATACCTGGGGAAGTGTTAGCAGTGGGTACTGCTAGGTCCTCCACCATTCATCTGATGGATTTTGACCATCGAATCATGGTGCAGGACCTAGAGCGGTAAGGTAAAATACGACATAGCAGGCCTATATTTGCAATTTCCTCTTTTGGAAAAGAGGAAAAATCCTTCTAACCCCCAAGAAAGATGAGAGCAGACTGTACTTTGTTAATGAAGAGCTACCGATATGTTAAAGTAGATCTGACACACACAATGAGGAACAGTAGAAACTAAAATGGTATGGGAGGGATGAATCCAACTCTCTGTACTGGTTCCATTCCCAGTAGTTTCAGCTGCATATCAGGCTTTGCCTAATGATTTATCATATGCTTTTCATGAGCAGGGCTTTTGATTGAGTCTGAGCATCTGCAGTTAAAATGACCTAAGAGAGACACTAACAGAGGAACCATTTTTGGACTAGACAGACCAATGGATGCTCAACTTAATAAGTGAAGGCACATTGCCCACTGCACACTGTGTTGCACATTGTACTGTAATAATCATTGGCATCCATTGCAAAATGTTGCTGTTCTGTATGGGGATTGTATTATGCTGGTGTAATGTTGTCTCTGTACGCAGACACTGATGGCCAGCTGTCCAGATTCTGGATCTATGGGTTCAATCGTCCATAGCTGAAAAGTATTCTGGAAAAAAATCTAAAACACAAATATTGCTTTTGCCATTTTATATAAGAGGCATTATTTTACTAGGCCATTGTATCCCAGGCATCCATTGATTTTAGTATACACAGAATGTACTGGAACTAAATGCCAGCTGATCCCAAGGACCCACCTATACACTATTTGAGAATGGATTGCCATCATTGGGTGAGCATGCGTGCATGACTGATTGCACACTTGGTTTTAAAGAAAAAGATGTACTCTCCAATCATCCAAGAAACAACAAGGTGCCTTCCCATCCTCCACCCTGTATCTTGTTTCAACTACAAACTGGAAGTGACCCTATAGGAACTTCTGCCATTGAACATATGAGGACAAAACAGGTAAAGATGGTTCTACTTCTGGCTTGCTGAATCCACTGCATGCAATGTCAGTACCCCTTTTGATATACCCCTTCTGAACCCATGGATTCTGTATCCACAGATTCAACCATCTACGGCTTGTAAACATTCCAAAAATGTCCCAAAAGCAAACCTTGATGTTGCCCTTTTATATAAGAGCATCATTTTTGTTGGGTTTCATCTCTGTTCTGCACAAGACCCTTGTGTCATCAAGTTTCCAGTCCTCAATGAGTAGTTAGGCTAGAGACAGGGCTATGCTAAGGGATTCCTTCCCCAAAATTCCTATGCATGTTTCCCTAAAGGGCTTTGTCTTTCCTCTTCACTGCTAGCCACTGTCTCCTTCCCCTTTGATGATGTAGTGATGGAATTGTGTGAGGGAACTTCCTTTTTAAGTTTTATTGCCCTGGATTGACCGTGCGGTCTCTCCACCATTTTTCAGTCTCTTCTGCCTTTTCTTCCTTCCAGTAAGGATGCACTTTGCCTCTCTCTAGGCAAAATGTAGCTGCGTGGATCTTTTGACCTTTTACCTTTTTAGCAGATAGGATTTAGTAAGCTAGTTAGCTCCAAGGCCTTTTCTATCAGGAATATTTTTGAACCTAAAGTTATGAGACTGCAATGCTATGCCACCCTGAAGAATAGAGGCCTGTTCCAGTTTGCCACATGTAAGTTTCTGCTGGTTATACTTCTGGTACTCTGCTATATTTATAAATCACCCCAACTGTGGGTTGTTTTGAGCCTGACAGTTCAGATTCCCCAACAATTTTACTAGGCCACTGTATATAGTGAGACTTGAACATCCATGGATCCCAATTGCAGCCCACTGTATTGCCACGGCTTCTTTCAGCCAACAAGGCTACCTCTGATTCTACTTCCAGGTTGACTTCTAGCTAAAGACCCAAGCCAGGCACGCTTTGTAACTCATACCAAACAGCGTTAATGCTCCTCCTGGGACATACCTACACTGCAATCAATGCAGTTTGACATCACTAACTGCCACATTTCAATAATATGAGATAATGGGTGTTGTAGTTTTATGACCTCTTTAGCCTTCTTCTGCAAGAGTACTGATTTATTTATTTATTTATTTATTTATTTATTTACTATATTTATATCCCACCTTTCTCCACCCTGGATGCTTACAGATAGGCAACAATTCAATGCCTTAACAGCAATATACAGTTAACATACATTAAAATTAAAATCAAAATTAAGTACATTAAAACATTATAAAACATTACTATCACTATAAAACCACACAATCTGCAATCATAATCCAGGTCATGCTGGTAGTAATTGCAGACAATTCCAGTTAATCTATTGCACTGTGGTTCTTCTCTGAAAGCTTGATCCCAGAGCCATGTTTTCACACTTTTTCTGAAGGTCAGGAGGGAGGGGGCTGACCTAACATTGCTGGGAAGGGTGTTCCAGAGCCGAGGGGCCATCACTGAGAAGGCCCTATCTCTTGTTCCCCCCAGTCACGCTTGAGAAGGAGGTGGAACCAAGAGCAGGGCTTCCCTGGATGATCTCACAATCTCTGATGCTTTGCCAACCTACAAATCTCAGGATTCCATAGCATTGAGCCATGAGAATTGAAAATGATATTAAACTGCATTAATTTCACAGTGCAAATAAACCTTCAGGTATCAGAACCAGATCCTGCAAAACCACCCATCTTTTGGAGAAATCCCTCCAATATCTCCAGCAGCTGAGCAGTGAAGAAAGACCGGAGTTTGGAAAACTCAGAGTCTCTTCACTGGACCACAGAAAGAGGATGGCAAGGAAGAGGGGGAGAGAGCAGGCACCCAGAGGCCAAGGGAGGAAGCATCTACACTGTAGAACAGCGTTTCTGAGCCTGGGAGTCAAGACCCCTATGGGGTCACAGGGGAGTACCAGAGGGGTCACCAGAGACCATCAGAAAACCCAGTATTTTCTGTTGGTCATGGGAGTTCTGTGTGGACAGTTTGGCCTAATTCTATCATTGGTGTGGTCCAGAATGCTCTTTGATTGTAGATGAACTATAAATCCCAGGAACTACAACTCCCAAATGTCAAGGTCTCTTTTCCCCCAAATTCCCCAGTGTTCACATTTGGGCATATTGAGTATTTGTGCCAAGTTTGGTCCAGATCCATCATTGTTTGAGTCCACAGTGCTCTCTGGATGTAGGTGAACTACAACTCCATGCTCACCAAACCCTTCCAGTATTTTCTGTTGGCCAAGGGAGTTCTGTGTGCCAAGTTTGGTTCAATTCCATCATTGGTGGAGTTCAGAATGATCTTTGATTGTAGTTAACTACAAATCCCAGCAACTACAACTTCCAAAAAGCAATCCCCAATCCCAACCCCACCAGTATTCAAATTTGGGTGTATTGGGTATTTGTAGCATATTTGATTCAGTGAATGAAAATACTTCCTGCATATCAGATATTTACATGACGATTCATAACAGTAGCAACATTACAGTTGTAAAGTAGCAACTAAAATGTTATGGTTGGGGGTCACCACAACATGAGGAATTGTATTAAGGGGTCGCGGCATTAGGAAGGTTGAGAACCAATTCTGTCCCGCCATACAAGGCACCCTGGCTCCCCTTTGCCCTCTTTCTTCCCAGCCCCAGAGGCGGGGACAGCGCCGAGCCGTCCTCGCAGTGGGTGGGTGCAGGAGTCTCCCTGGAAACGAGCAACAGCAGCTCCGGCTTTGGTCGGGCTGCTCCTGCAAGAAAGGCAAGCAAACGGGGCAAGGTAGGTTTGCGGGGATCCGGCAGAAATCGAGGAGGAGAGCCCAACGCCTCTCCCAAGAGAGCCCAAGGAGGCCTCTGTTTTTGGCTGGAGCCATAGGACAGCCAGCTGCATTGTTTGGTTTTTGTCTTTCTTTGCTTCTTTCTGTAACAGCTCCATGGCAGAAAAGAAGGGTGCATCTGCTACACCAGGCCTGGGCAAACTTGGGCCCTCCAGGTGTTTTGGACTTCAACTCCCACACTTCCTAGCAGCCTCAGGCCCCTTCCTTTGCCCCCTCAGCGCCTTGCAATCTCAGGTGACAGCAGAATCCATGAGCAGCAACTAGAAAACTTTACACAACAGGAGGATTTAAAGATCGAACTGCAAAGACTCTGGCACAAGCCAGTAAAAGTGGTTCTAGTGGTGACCAGCACATTATGATGATAATAATAATATGATCATAATAATTATAATTATCGTCGATGTTGCAATCTCAGGCAACCGCAGGATTGAAGAGAAACAACTGGAAAAGCTAACACAATATGAGGATTTAAAGATTGAACTGCAAAAACACTGGCACAAGCCAGTAAAGGTGGTCCCAGTGGTGGCTGGTACACTGGGTGCAGTGCCTAAAGACCTTGGCTTGCACTTAAAAACAATCAGTGCTGACAAAATTACTATCTGTCAGCTGCAAAAGGCCACCTTACTCAGATCTGCACACATTATTCGCCAATACATCACGCAGTCCTAGACACTTGGGAAGTGTCACCAGAGTGATCTTGTTTGTTGTGTACTACTCTTGTTGTGTTTCAAATAATAATAATAATAATAATAATAATAATAATAATAATAATAATAATAATACGGTTTTCTGGCATTGTATATGTCTGCCGCTTCTGTGCCCGTTCATTTGTATTTTGATTCTGTAGCCCACTTGTCAATGGATGTCCAGAATCAGCAGCATCCACCACGGTCCTTTTTATCTTGGGCCTCAACCAAGCCAGTATAGACTTCATTTTGGTTTGTTTCTCCATAGTGCTAATGGTTAGGTGCTCTGAGTTCCACTCCTCAGCTGAGATCTCTCTGACTTGGTTGTACCTGCTGGTAGTTACACTACCGCCAGCACAGCTCTCAGCATCCTTGGAGCAGTTAAGCCCCCCACCACGACAAGTTGGATCTGTGCACATCATTAGAAAGTACACCACATAGTCCTAGACACTTGGGAAGTGTTCAACTTGTGATTTTGTGATACAAAATCTCATTTGTTGTGTCATGTTGTGGTTTTGTGTCAGTAAAATAATATTTTTTAGCAGCCTTTCCTTGTGGCTGGAGACAAGGTACAACAAATACATAAACAAAACATAAGACCATTCTTTGCACATACAGTAGAGTCTCGCTTATCCAACCTTCGCTCATCCAATGTTCTGTATTATCCAATGGTGTCTGTCTCCCACCCCTATCCACAGCTGTTTTAATACATTGTGATGTTTTGGTGCGGAATTCATAAATACAGTAATTACTACATTGCTACAGTGGCTTAAGCTGCTGAAGGGGAAAAGGAAATGGCCTGAGGCTGTTAGGAAGTGTGGGAGTTGAAGTCCAAAACATCTGGAGGGCTCAAGTTTGGCCATGCATGTACCACACTGTGGAAAGAATGCAATTTGATACCACGTGAACTGTCATGGATCAATGCTGTGCAATCAGAGGAGTTGTCATTTGGTCCCCCCCCCCCCAAAACTACAGCTCCCAAGATTGCATAGCATTGAGACGTGGCAGTTCAAAGTGGTTTCAAACTGCATTCATTCCACAGTGCAGAGTCAGCTGATGATGTTTGCAAAAGGGAACTCTGCCTTCTGGTTTTCTGCCTCTCCTTCATACATGTCCCCGGCAGCCTGGGAAGGGGAAAGATACTTATAAACTACAGTAGAGTCTCGCTTATCCAACATAAACAGGCCAGCAGAACATTGGATAACAGAAAATGCTGGATAATTAGGAGGGATTAAGGAAAAGCCTATTAAACCTCAAATTAAGCACCAAAACATCATGTTTTACAACAAATCGACAGAAAAAGCAGTTCCATACATGGTAACATTATGTAGTAATTACTGTATTTACGAATTTAGCACCAAAAAATTGCAATGCACTGAAACAGCTGTGGATCCGGACAGGAGGCAGACTATGTTGGATAATACAGAATGTTGGATGAGCGAAGGTTGGATAAGCAAGACTCTACTGTATGTGAAAAGAATGGTCTTATGTTTTGTTTATGTATTTGTTGTACCTTGTCTCCAGCCATGAGGAAAGGCAAACAGGATCACTATGCTGGCTTTTGTATTCGATCACACATCGGACACTTCTCAAGTGTCTAGAACTATGTGATGTATTAGGGAGTATTGTGTGCAGATCCAAGTAGTGTGGGCTTTTGCAGCTGACAGATGGTAATTTTGTTAGTGCTGATTGTTTTTAAGTTCAGGTCAAGGTCTTTAGGCACTGCACCCAGTCTACTGATCACCACTGGGACCACCTTTACTGGCTTGTGCCAAAATCTTTGCAGTTCGACCTTTAAATCCTCATATCTTGTAAGATTTTCCAGTTGCTTCTTCTCCATCTGCTGTCACCCAGGATTGCAACATCGACGATCCAAACTTATTTTTTTTCCACAATAGTGAGGTCAGGAATATTATTATAGCCAGAATCTTCTTGGGGCAAGGTTGTAGCTGCAGCTAGTGGAAAGGAATCAGTGATAGTAATACATGCTTAAAACTCCGACATTTCCTGCATTCATGTTCCCTTGGCAAAATTTCCTGCCTCTTTTCTTTGGATGCCTTAGCTCTGTTTTTGAAACCGAAGCTTTCCTATGGAAAGTGGTCTCATGGCACCTTAGAGATTGAGAGAATGAAATCGATACCTTATGCTTTCCTGGACTAACTCTGCTTCCTCAGGTGCACTGAAGTGTTATGTTACTGCACTACTGTATTGGATCCCAGTGCCAGCAAAATTCCTGGTGCAACTTTTACACATAAGTACCTTGGCTCAGTACCATTATTCAGAATGGAGAATGCACTCAAATCAAAAGAAAACTAGGGGTGCAAATAATAATAATAATAATAATAATAATAATAATAATAATAATAATAATAATATACTTTATTTATATTCTACCCTATTTCCCCAAGGGACTCAGGGCAGATTACAGTACACATATACGGCAAACATTCAATGCCATTATACAATTAACAAAGACAAACAGTACATAAACAGAGGTAAAGGATTCCTGGTTTTTTTTTTTTCCATTTCCGGCATCTGAAGGCTGTGCTCAACTCTGGCCATGGGGGAGTGCTGTTAGATGCTCTCCTGATCGAATTGCCAGAATGTCTGCATGGGCGCCTTTTATTACCTCCCCACCAAAGTGGTACCTATTTATCTACTCACATTGCTGTTTTCAAACTGCTATGTGAACAGAAGCTGGGCTGACAGTTGGAAGCTCATCCCAGTCTGGGTTTGAACAGTCAACCTGGGCCTGTAACTTCACTTTTTTATCAGTTCAATTTTGCAATTTTGGAAACCAGTTGTCAGTGTCTTTTCAAATCAGAGTTGTGTTTTAAAATGTCTTTCCTCTCTCTAGTAAATATGTCAGATATAATGAAAGACAAAGTAACCCGCTTGCTGAGGAAAAGAGGAAGCATATCTTCTTTAGGGAGCCATGAGGTCAAAGCAAAAGAGTTTCTTGGAAAAACTAAAGAGTAAGTTGCATCCTTACTGTTTTATGACTATATGCTGTGGAGTAATTGTAAAACTGTTTTATTATGCCCACTTGAGGGACCAATGTGGGAGCATTTAGTTATGAGTGGGTGCAATTGTGTTTTTAGCTGTTTATTGCCTAGTGCCCAATTAAGTAATGAATCTTCCCTTATCATGAGGGAAGAATGTGGAGTATGATGTTCTTCCATGCTGGCTTTGCAAACATAATTGCTCATGGTTTTAAATTTCAGTCCTTTATGAGTGACAGGGCCAGAAATTATACTTTGGGGAATTCACATTTGCTGCACTAACTCTCCATGCAAGATCAAATGCTGCCAAATTGCATGTACCACAGCAGAACAAAAAGAGAAAATAACAAAGAAACTAGAAGATATGCCAGTGCCTGCATTTGGGGGGTTTCAAAGGCTCCCAAACGGAATATAACTTATTCCTGGCTAGAACAGAGCCATTGAATCATAGAATCATAGAGTTGGAAGAAACCTGGTAGGCCATCCAATCCAATCCCTTGCCAAGAAGCAGGAAAATCACATTCAGAGCACCCCTGACAGATGGCCATCCAGCCATCAAAGCCTCCCCCACACTCTGGGGCAGAGAGTTCCACTGCTTAACAGCTCTCACATTGAAGTAGTTCTTTCTAATGTTCAGGTGGAATCTCTTTTCCTTTAGTTTGAAGCCATTGTTATGTGTCCTAGTCTCCAGGGCAGCAGAAAACAAGCCTGCCCCATCCTCCCTTTGACTTCCCCTCACATATTTATACATGGCCCTCATCATGTCTCCTCTCAGCCTTCTCTTCTCCAGGCTAAACATGCCCAGCTCTTTAAGCCACTCCTCATAGGGCTTCTTCTCCAGACCCTTGATCATTTTAGTCGCCCTTCTCTGGACACATTCCAGCTTGTCAATATCTCTCTTTAATTGTGGTGCCCAGGACTGGATACAGTATTCCAGATGTAGTCTGCCAAGGCAGAATAGAGGGGTAGCATGACTTCCCTGGATCTAGACACTAGACTCCTGTTGATGCAGGCCAAAATCCCATTAGCTTTTAAAGCTGCCACATTACACTGTTGGCTCATGTTTAACTTGTTGTCCATGAGGACTCCAAGATCTTTTTCACACGTACTGCTCTCGAGCCAGGCATCCCCCATTCTGTATCGTTGCATTTCATTTTTTCTGCCTAAGTGGAATATTTTGCAGAATTGTTGGAATTTACTTCTGTATTGATTCACCATTTAATAATTATGCATTGGATCTTCTAAGCTAACTGGGACCAACTACAAGAATTCCCAGCCTAAATGTGTATAGCCCTACAGAATTAATCGCTGTCATCTTTGTCTAAAAATATGAGCATCCTATGTCACTTCAAGTAATGCTTTTAACTCTCTACCCATTTTTTGACACTGCCTACATTATCATCTAAAGTGAGGCTTCTACGAGCTTTCCACTCACGATCCCTTTTGGTCTGAGAAATGTTTACAAGGCCTTGAATATATAGGTATAGAAAATAGGTATAAAACCAAAAATTTTCTGATAACAAATCAGTTTTTGCAAAATCTTGCTAAATAGACTGATTTTCCTTTTAAAGTACAGTTGAAGCATCTTCTGCAGAGGCCACTGTGCAACAGATTTGTGTAAATGTCTGAAATGGCAACTAGGTGAAGTTCAACAAAGTTTTACTGTTGCCAGTTTTTTTCATGAACCCAACATTGAGCTCAGGGGACCCCATTTGGGGTCAGGACACACACTTTAAGAAGCAGTGATCTCAAGAGCAGGGGATGTGGTCAGTCCTTGAAATGTTGTATGTGGCCAACTTGAAAGGAAAGCATGTATCTGGAATCCTTCTTCACTTCACTTCACTTCACTTCATTTCTTAACTAGTCGCTCTCCACCAAGGTGCTCCGAGCAGCTTACAGTCTAAAATAGCATTTACACGATATAAAAACATTCAACATAAAAACATTCAACGGTGACTATTTGGCAAATTAGATCTGATTACTTAAATGCACAATCAAACAGCCAAATCTTGAGTGCCTTTACAAAAGGTCGCAACACCGACATTGCTCTAATGTATGGAGGCAATGAGTTCCACAGAATTGGAGCATAGGTCGAAAAAGCTCTATGCCTTGTAGCTTCCAGGTGTACCTCCCTAGGGCCTGGTATGTATAGATTTTCCTGGGTGGATTGAGGTGACCACTGATGGAGAAAAGGAGTGAGGCGGTCCCTAAGATATAAAGGCCCTTGGCCATTTTGAGCTCTAAATGTCAGGATCAGTATCTTGTAGGAGATCCGATGTTCTATTGGTAGCCAATGCAGTTGTTGCAGAATCGGTGTAATATGGGATCTTATAGATGATCCCACTAGCAGCCTGGCCGCTGCATTTTGGACCATCCGAATCTTCTGGGTTGTTGACTTCGGAAGGCCGGCATATAAGGCGTTGCAATAATCCAACCTCATGGTGACTGTTGCGTGGATTACTGTTGCTTGAGCAAGCCTTGCTTGAGCAGGCCTTGTATTCTTCCACAGAAGAGCTGGAGCTGCACACATTTTTTGTTTTCAATTGTATTACTTTCAGTAATAAATAACACAGTTGTTATTGGGGACTATTTCAGTTCCATCAGTACCGTGTCCTACATGGATGAACCTGGACACCATGATGATGCCCTTCGTCCAGCTGTTCAGATGGAGAACACATACCGATTGGGTAAGCATCACATCCTTGTTACTTATACATTTCCATGTGTAAGATTTTCTCCAGCACATGTGGGGGATGGAACAAAGTAGCAATGAAATGGACTTGAGTCCTTCATAGGTACTAGACTGTTAAATCCTTTTACTTACTTACTTACTTAGGCAATCCCTCATTGTCCAAGAATGATGGCCTTCCAAGTGTAGTGTCTTGGTGGTGGATCTGTAGGTGACTATGGAGCCCTATTCTTGGCCCACATGTTCTTCCACAGTGAGGACATCAGTTTCCAGGTGGAAGGTGGTCCCAGTTGAGGTTGGCTCAACGCACCTTCCTCTTGGCATGTTTCTCCCTTTCTCCCTCCATTCATGCCTCTTCAAATTTCACAGCACTTCTGGTCACAGCTGACCACCAGCTAGAGCACTCAGGGGCCAGGGTTTCCTGCTTCTCAGTGTCTATGCCACAGTTTTGTTAATCTGATGCTAACTTGCAATAGTAAGGGCACAAATTAAGCACATTTCTAATGGTTCAATGTACACAAACTTTGTTTCATGTCCAAAATTACAGTAATAAAACACTGAGTTTAGACTTTCCTTCAGTCTGTTTGTAAGGTGCAGATGAAACAGTTTTATGTTTAAACTTAGGGCCCTTCCACACTACCCTACATCCCAGAATATCTAGGCAGAAAATCCCACATTATCTGAGTGTGGATTCAGATAACCCAGTACAAAGCAGATATTGTGGGGGTTTCTGCCTTGATATTCTGAGATAATGGGTTGAACTGGAAGACACTGATGATTATAGTTTTAATAGTTTTATATGGATTTTATTATGTGATATTAAATGTTTTAATTGACATGGATATGTTCATGACATGCTTTATGGGCTGCAGATTCATCTGCAACAAATACATATCAGATACACAGTTTTTTAGGATACCTAAGGAACTACAAGAGGAAGAGGAAATCTGCAAAAGTATCTCTTTTTATGAGCAGGAACCTTTTATAAGTATTCTTTCCCACTCATATGAAGTCTGATCCAACCTACACTTTCTAGTCTCATTCCTCTAAACAAGAGAGATCCTGATGGCTTTCGATTTAGCCACTTTGAGTCTTCTTGTGGAGAGAAAAAGTGGAGTATAAATAGACATAGTCATCATCATTGTAATTTGAAGAAATAGTGAAGTGAAGCAAGTACAGAAGCCCACAGAGCTCTTATGTGTTGGAAAAGTTCACAATACATGCTTATGAAATCATGCTGTGAATTATCTCTGTCTCCTAGGTCCTGCAAAATGTTTCCCAGTGGGCACGGTGAATAATATCTTGAAGGATGTAGTAACAAGTTATCTTCAGGAAGAAAAATATGAAGCAGAATTGTGTAGACAAATGACAAAGACCATCTCTGAGGTACAAACCTATTTGTTAAGCAAAGTTTTAAAATAAATTTCAAAGGAAGATTGAATAGAAATCTCCACAGCATTAAAAAAAAAGCCTATTGATATTAAAACCTATATCAGTTTTAAACTTTATAAGTTATAAAATATTAGTGTTGGGACTATAAAGTGGAACATTAGGATGTTTGTATACACAAATGATAATTTTGTAATCCTACTAGAGTTCTTGGTGGCTATTCCCAGACTGTGGAACACCCTTCTGAGGCTAACCCCATCAATACGTTCACAGCTAGACCATCCAAAACAGTGGATATGACCAAACAACATTGAAGTACCTAACAACTAGTCCCAGTAAATCAAAGAATCACCCAGGATATCCTCTCAAGAATTCTGTATGCCCTCCAGAGTGACTCTGTAGTAGCTTCTGAGGGAAGCATACCTTAGAATCACCTGGAGAACCCACCAAATTTCTAGGAAGACCTAGTTCTTGTACTGGGAGAAGACTAGTGGCAGGGATAACTAAGCAATGTAGGTATGTAGGTAGGGAGATAAGTAATACAAAATATTTCTGTAGATCTGCACTTCATCCTAAATATTTTTCAACTGTAACTCTTTCTCTTTTAGGTAACTAAAGCTCGCATAAAAGACCTAATGATACCAAGATACAAAATTATTGTGATAATAAATATTGGACAACTAAAGAAGCAAAGCATACAGATTGGAAGCAGGTGCCTCTGGGACACTACCAGTGATACTTTTTGCTCCTATTCCTTCAAAAATAGGTCATTGTTTGCTCTTGCAAATGTTTATGCTGTTTACTCTGAGTAACAAGTGACAGTTCTATGAGGAACTGATGAGCCCAACATAGAGCTGGATATCATTTGTTTTCTGCAGTACTCACCTGAGAGTAATCTTCAATTAACCCAATGGGACTTAACTCTGGTTAAACGTGTGGAATTATTCTATATTGTGGGTTTGCTAAATAGAGTACACCTGGCCTTCAATGTTTGTGGGTTTAACTTTTGCAGATTTAATTATTTGCTCATTTGGTTAGTATGTCCTCTCTAGTAATCTCTAGGCCCTCCAGTAAATTTCTATGGTCAATGTATATAGAAGCTGATTATGTAGTCACCTGGAGGACCAGTTGTTCTCAACCTGTGGGTCCCCAGATGTTTTGGCCTACAACTCCCAGAAATCCCAGCCAGTTTACCAGCTGTTAGGATTTCTGTGAGTTGAAGGCCAAAACGGGTTGAGAACCACTGACCTAGACATTCTAAAGATGTGTTCTCAGAGAGCCCTTCCACACAGCCCTATATCCCAGAATATCAAAGCAGAAAATTCCACAATATCTGCTTTAAACTAGGTTATCTGAGTCCACACTCAGATAATGTGGGATTTTCTGCCTTGATATTTTGGGATATAGGACTGTATGGAAGGGCCCTCAGGTTTTTAAATGTATTTTTTATTTGAGGTTTTAACTCTTTAGTGGAGGTCCATGAAAGGGCATGGGTACTGTTATCATGTCTGTGTCCACTTAGGATTGTAATTACTTTTAAGAAACGTCTTAATATTGCTGATGCAATTTTTACTGCTGTCATATAAACGTAATCTTTTCTTGTGTATTCATTCCTAGGAGAGGCGTTAGTACCCCACTTTTTGCTCCTATTCCTTCTTGTATTGGGAGAGGACTGTTGCACTAATTATGTTATAATGGCTATGTAAATGAGGCCTACATTTATGTTTTAGTCTTGAAATATTACTGAAATATCGAGCAATTCACATTTATTTTGGTGCACTAAGGTCTTGGTTTATGTTTGAACTCTTTTTCAGGACAGTTGGTAATATAACTAGCAGCTATGTCTTCTTCTTCTTCTTGCTCTTCCTTTTTGTCAATTAAAATTGCAAGGGGCCTGATCTGGATTTGGACTCTACTGGAGACATTGGGAACAAGAAAGGTTTAATCTGAAGTCCTCTATAAGGATCCAAGCTCAGACACTTGGCATTTTCCTCCCCCCAAAAAATATCCGATTTTTTACTTGTCACTTCTTAGACATACAAATTGCAGGCCAAAGTCCTTGATATCCACATTAGGATCCAATTCCAAATTTGTTGTTTGTGTTTTCTTTAATGTAGGAAAAGAATAAAGAGAAAGCTAATTGCATCTTTAAATTCCTGTCTTGCTTGAGTCCCAACGACCTCATCAGATGGGGTAAAAATTGGTGGCATATGTCGGTTCCTGCACATGATGGAGCCTGCTGACTCCCATCCCATGATGTACATCTAGTTCCGGCGAGGCTCCATTACAAAAAGAAAGAGAAATGCTGCTGCTACAGCAGCAACATGGGGCCTCCTGTGTTGCATTAGGAACCATGAGTGAAAAATGAGCAGCAAACTCTTCCCCCATGGGATGGGGCCTGGGGTAAATCAGGTGATGTGGGGCATGGGACACTGGCTTCTCCATACACCTCCGCCGGGAAACGCCAGATTTGCCACACTCCGTGGTCATTCAGCAGCACACATGATGAGGCCCTAGTCTCATATCAAATGCAACAACGGGTCCATCAAGACTACTCACAATGTATAGTGACATTCCTGGATAGTTATATTGCTTTTTCCTTTCCATTTCTTAAAAGCTTGATACAGGCTCCACTAAATAAGACAGCACTCAGTATTAGAGAGAGTGCTTTTTTAGTAACTGAAGTTGAATTGGCTGAAGTCGAAGTGCGACAAAAGTAGTTCTTGGTTTTATTCTGATAGCAAATTGGCTAAAATTTTAAGGAAAAGCTGGAAGACTCAATGCCAAGTTGAAACTTCCAGACTTTTTTACCCTACAACACAACCCACATGTCCAAAAATGAGAAGTTCCAAAACCCTTTGTGGAAACTTGAAATTGCAGATAATTACAAACTCTTTATTTTGACTATATTTGAGTCAGAGCAGAACCTAGAGAGATCCATAGATACCTCCAGAGCAGGAGATTATCTTTTTGAGCCTGTGTAAGTGAAACCATGGATAAGTGGGTCATACTGTATTGTATATTAGGTAGCCTTTATTTTTAGAAAAGGGGGAAATTAGAACATTATATTTCCTCATAATAATTGTTTTGAGAGTAGTCAGATGCCATGCTGATATTCAGTGCACATCCTTGGCTGATCTCAAATGTTAGGATCTCAAAATGGCAAGGGGTTGCAGACACTGCAGCTTGTACATAGGCATTATTCGATAATCACTGGTGACACTGACTAAAAATACATTTGGTCTAGATTGTCATAATTCTCTCATGCTTCCCTTGCATCTACAATATATCTGGTATATATACGGTTAACTTTCAATTTTCACATATTCTTTATTCATGAGTTGAACCATTCATGGCTGGAATTCAACACACACCCCCAGTCCAAAATGCAAACTTTGGATTTGCCATTTTGTACAAGGAACACCATTTTACTGTGCCAAGACTGGGTCTTGAGCCTCCGCAGATTTTGGTGTTAATTGTGAGAGGTGGGACGGGGTTCTGGAACTGAATCTAGCAAAGGGCTCACTGTACTTCATTCATTATTATCACAGCATTCTGGGGAGAGATATGGCATAGCTACTCTTAACTTCATCTGCCCTGTTCACGCAACACATCTCCAGCATTTTGTAATTTGTTTTGTCTTCTTGAGAGATTTTCTCCAATTCCATTCCCATTGTCATTATGTTTCCAAACATTTAATGAAAATATCTCCCAGCAATCTGTTTGGAATATTAAACTATCCTGAAATTAGGAGAAGAGCATTCGATGAGACATTATCAAACAAACAGTCGAAGCCAGCTGGTGAACTTCACATTTATTGCAAAAGTAGGAACCAAAAGAAAGAGCAGAAATCTTATTCATACATTTGAAATGTAGCCATTCGACAATATTTGTCAATTTGGAGAGGCAGACAAGAGCTGAGAATATTGCAGTCTCTTTGAAAAGACCTTAATGTTACCTATTTAAAGCCACAAAGTATTTTATTTTCTAAAGTATTATTGCTGTAGAGTAGCCTCCATATCAACAATTGGTACATTTTTAGCATAGCGTACTTATAGAGTTTTCGCTGCAGCCAACAGCACAGCAAGAGATTGTGAGTTGCATCACATCCTCATGCCTTTTATGGATAGACTTTTGTTGCTGGCCTTGCAGATCTCTTTCAGTCTCCGCCCTGGACTGGATGAATTCTTTGCTTTGCGACTCCGGCTTCTGGATATAATTTTCCTCAGTACCTGTTGAGATATTGATAACAACGTGATAAATGACAGTGAACGTCTTGATCTGTTGAATGAAAGTAATAACTAAAATGCTGGAAATATGCTAATTATAAAGTTGGACTGCTCTGACTATGAAAACATATTGACATCATGTCTTAGGTTTGATGGAATTCGTACTTACAAGATAAACTAGACGTCTCATTGTAAGATATTCACGAAAGAAAATTATCAATGCTCTCAATGAAATCTGCTTTGAAACGTGTACTAAGCCGAAACTGAAGTTATTTCAGTAGGATTAACCTAGTTGTGTTTAAGTTACTTAAAACAAAGGATATGCTAAGAAAGGAAGCCAAAGATCAATTTCACCCACTCATGTGCTTGTCCCAATATATCTTTCCATTTTCATTGTTAATTTTCTGTACAAGGTTACAATATATATATCTTTCCCGTCTTCTGGGATGTCCAGTCATCTCACACCCTTTTCCATGCTTTCCTGTGCTTTCCCTACTTTCTCCTCATTTTATTGAGTAAGGAATCAGGTAGCACCCAACACCTGAAAATGGATTCTTCTATTTTAACACACTGGCAACACTGATTCTCATTGGCAGCCACCGAAAGTGGACATACATTGTGAGATGGCCTCCATGGGACTCCGTTTTGCCAACATGTTAAAATGGATAGAAGACAGAGAGTTGACTATGTGGGGATGAAGTATGTGGGGATGAAGTTGTAAGGAAACACTCCTTCTCCAGTGAGACTTGCCCAACACTTCCTCTGCTGTTTTTTCAACACAAATGAAAATACTTTTCTTTTGCCCGGGCTCTCAATTGTTGAATTATCCTTTTATTCCTATAATTTTTAATTTATTTATAATTTATAATTTTTATATATTTATAATTTTTAATTTATAATTCCTATCGTTTTTAATTTAGTTCTTATATTTGTTTTATTATATATACCTCCTTGAGAATATATTTTGATATTGTTGTTGTCTGCCTTCAAGGCATTTATAACTTAATGAACCCTAAGGTGACCCTATTCCAGGTTTTCTGGCATTGAGTGTGTGAATCACCCAAGATCACCCAGTGGGTTTTTATGGCCAAGCAGGGAATCTATGCTTGTAGCTCAACACTCAAATTGCTATATCATGTTGGCTCTCAAGAATATATTAAAGATTTCCCCCCAAAAGGCTCACATTTTACATGATATAATTAATTATGAATGAACAACTAAGTAATTTCTCCTGGTCCAGTCCCTCCATCATGCCTTTATGAGGCCCAGGAATGGTGGTCTTTTCAGCTCAGAAGCACAGCACAGGAAGGTGATGTTTCCTTCATGTTCTAACAATGATCAAGACAGTGATGATCAGAAGCAGGACCCCATCTCAAATCCTTGTCACACACTCTATTGCTGGGAGGAGGAAGGAGAAAGTTGAAATCTTCCCCCTTGTGTCCCACCTGGCCTTGAACAAACCTCCATCTCCCAATGCTTCTGTGCCTGGTAAAGCAAGTTGGTACAGTGGTATTCATGAACATTAGTAATTCATGTTAGTGAATACAATGCAGTTGTGGATCTGTAATTCTAGGCTACTAATCTGCAACTCCAGTATAGAATACCAGCCCAAATAACTAAGAATAACACAATTGGTTTAACTAAATAACAAAAATATTTAGAAAGCTATTACCTATGAGACCATTTGGGAAGCCATTCAGTTGTCTTCTCCAGCGGGATCCTCCACAGGTAAAGACGACTGCCCTGACAAAGTCTCTCCCGCAGAGTCTGACTGGAGCCCCTTCAGATTTTACTTCAGAGATAGCCAGGAAGAAAGAGAGCAAAAGCAACCCCAGGACCACAGCCTTCATTTTGGCAGAAGAGTATCTGATTAAGCAGAGCAGGGAAGAAGATGGGGACTACTGTAGAGGGAATACAAAGAGGCAGACCAATTTATATGCTCCTCTCTTAGGCAAATGACATTAATCTGTGATGATCTAATGTTTGTCAAATATTTTTTGCACCAGCGTTAAGTGCTTTGGGATTTTTAACTGGACTGTTCTCAAATAGTAATTAAAATTATAATATGTCACTATATGGCTAAGATTAGCATTGCACGTAAAAGTCCAGCATATTTATAGAAACTTCCCATCTTAGATCAACACTGCAAATGTGCACTTCCTTCCTCTCTTTGGGAGATTTATTATATTTTTCACACCTCACAAATGACTATGAACTGCTATAATTTTTCAAATAGCAGTTAAACTCAACCAATAGGCATGCTATGCTGCTTTGCATTTAGTATCTTGAACTTGGTATATTTTTTCAGAACTTGCATTCAACATTAAATTTGTTATAATAATGTATGTTTCTGTTAAGCTATTTGTTTCATTTTTATTTAATTTATAACGTTATTAATTGGTATTTAAAGGAAATGTTGAAAGTGCCCATGGTTATTTCTTCTTGAATATCAAATTCTACATTTCTATTTATTTCTTCCTTTTGCCATTAACCACAGTATAAGAAAAATAAATGGAGTGGGCTCATAACATTTGCTGGAGTTAGGGGCACAGGTCCCCCATGAAAGTGGGGAAAAGGTGGGGGGGGACCAAAAAAACCATGTGTTGTTTTTTAAATCTAAGGCTGGATCTACCCCTACATCTCAGGATCTGATCCCAGATTATCTGCTTGTCCTAGACTATCTGGCAGAGTGGAGTCATATAACCCAGTTCAAAGTAAATTGGGATCAGATCCTGAGATATAGGGCAGTGTAGATCCAGCCTGCGAGAACATCCTCTAGGGATCTGTAGGGCTTCCAATACAACTATATGGTCAACTTCCACTGGAGGACCTAGAGAAACCTTATTAATCAAATAAACCCATAATCAAATCCACAAATATGGGGGGAGGGTGTTGACGTACTTACCTTCTGGTATATTTGAAAATTACAGTGTCAGAGAGTAAAAGTCCCAGTGAGTAATAAGTGTGGAAGATTGACCCTATCACCAGATGCCTCAAGCTATAGTTCTATTTTATTTCTTGAAAATGTATATATGGCTTATATATTCTCTCTATACTCTAAAGCAGTGGTTCCCAACCTTTTTTTGACCAGAGACCATTTGACCAGGGATCACTTTGACCAGAGACCACTTGACCAGGGAACACTTTAACCAGGGACCACTCTACAACATTAGTATCAAAAGGGTTATGAATCAGTTTTTGGTCAATTTTGGGGTGCTGATTCAGAAAATTGCATTGGATAGACCACATCTGTTCTAGTTTCTGATACAGAACATATGCCATGGTCAGCAACAGGAAAGGAGTGGCAGGTGTTGCAGAAGGAGAGGAAATAAAATAAAATAAAAAAAGAGGAAGGAGGCTCATGGACCAGATTTTCATCTTTGCGGCCCACTGCTGCTCCGTAGCCCACAGGTTAAGAACTACTGCTCTAAAGTGAATCTGATCATGCATTTGTATGTCAGCCCTGATAATGAAAGCAAGTCCACATTCCAGAATACCTTTCTTGTTGTGCATTATGTAGTGTGGGTAAAACAGCCTCTCCTCCCTGGAATCTGTGATAAAACATGTGTATATAATAGCATTTTAAACTTGTGATTTTTCCACTTTTGCAAAAATAAAGGGCCTACTGTATTGGGCACCTTTTGCTCCATTTTCCTTATCAAAAATGAAATCACTCACACACAAGCTGCTGGATGTCCTGTTCCCCAAACTTTCTACCCCTGAGGCACATTGCAGCTCAGCAAAAATCAGTTTACAAAGAAAAGTTGCCTGAAAGGATAATTCTGTCTTCACTTTCTCAAATCTTCCACAAATCCCTTCCCATATTGTGACTTTTACTTCAGGCAGCACTTGTCCTTGGAGATGTCATGCCATTTTCTGAAATTATATGCTGCTCATAGTTTTGGCATCGGAATAGATTTGGAAGGTTGCAATTTTCACCTCCTTTTAGCCATTTCTTTTTTTTGGTCCAATAAACTTTTTTTCTTGTGTTGTTTTTGGTTTAATTCTTTTGTTTCATGTATTCTGTGTATTTTTTTAAATAGAAATGCAAAGGATTGTGGAATCACACTCATACATATCACAGTCATAGCTATTTTCATCCTAATTTCATCATATATTTCCATCCAAAGTTCTACCCAAAGAAAACTAATTTATCAAAGGAGATCATGCCCAATAATATTTAAGTTTTCCATTTCCTATTGATTGTATTAGCTGTGAATGAAGGTTGTAGACTTCTTTTTCTTTTTATCTTTTTGTCCTCATGATAGTATTGCCATTTTTGTATTGTGCCCTCAAATAATTTTCATCTATAGGTGAACCTATCATGATGGTTTTGAGAGGCCGTGTGTGTCAAGGTTTTATTCAAATGAGCTTGCCCTTACCTTCCTCTGAATGTGAGAACATTTGACTTGCCCACAGTCACCCAATGGGTTTCCAGTGAGTAGTCAAACTCTGGTCTCCCAGAGTCCTGGTCAACACTCAACCCACTTCACCACACTGGATCTTGTGATAAAATTAGTCCGATACATTTGAACCAATGCATACAGCTGAATCCACTAAGATGGAAGCTAACTTCTGCTCAAGCAGTTAAGAGTTCCCATTTTTCTCCCTCCCTGCAGCCTAATGTGCTCCCCAAATCTGTCATAAAGAATTCACCCAATAGCCAAAAAAAGATTTGGACCTTACACAAAGAGCTGGCAGGTGGAGAAGGAATTCATATCGCCAGCCATGTGTTGTTAATACACAAGCCATAATATTATCTATGTATCAGGCTGCAGAGATTCATAGTCCATCAATGCCCATGTTTAAGTAAATAATAAGTATGCTAAAAAGATCACTAGACTCATGTTTGTGTCTTCGAGCATAAAAAAATAAAAAAATTGACTTCTATTTATTTTGGCACATAAGAAGATATATTGTGATTTACAAGGGCATTAGAAAAGTTGTCTGGTGCTTAACAGAACCAATAAGTAAACAGCAGTTCCTGGCTTTTTGACACCTCTTTGGGAAAATGTTTAACAAGTGTCCATTCTAATGGGTGACATCTATAGGCAAATGCAGGAAATAGTTTTGTCATATGATTTCTTCATAAAAATGTGCAAAACACACATGGAAATGGTTGTTAATGTCCTATATAACAGGCTGTGGTTTTTTAACAGTTTAAACATTCATCACTTGTTGCCAGGCTGTTGAAGGAAGTTTAATATTATTGAAGTTTTTACAATAGATTGCCCCTGTGAAACAGCTCTCTGGGACTGTATAAACTCTAGGACGACCTAATCAATCAAAGAGCAGGGTATTTAATGTCACTCTGTAAATCAAGAAATGAAAGACTAATAAAGTTTAGGTGCAGAGAGTTAGGTTCAGGCTGGTTGTTGGGTAAATAGAAGAAGTCCTTCCATTCCCAAGAGACAACAGATCCAGCAAAGACCTCCTAGACCCCATCAAGAAGATGCATACTATACTTTAGAGGAAGACAATGGCCAACTACCATTCAATGCCCCTTACCTTAGAAAGCTTTATGAAATTCATGGAGTCATCCTATGTTGACAGACAACTTGAAGTCACATAAACATGGAAAGAGCTCTAAGTCTGGTTCCTAGCTGGATCCAAACATAAGGCCCTTCCAGACAGGCCCAAAATGTGGGACCTGTCTCACTTTTACCTGAGGTGTCCAAGTGATGACTCAGGTAAGTGTAAATTAATATGGAGAAGACTGGGTTTCCTAGTTTGCTCCAGATTAATTAAACACCTGGAAAGATCTGGACCTTAAGTGAGGGCTCTGTGGGGATTGATTCCCGGGACTGCTTTTCAACCCCACAGCCATCCCAATTCTTTGGGCTCCTGGAACCTGAAAGAGTGGGAGGGCGCCCCATCCAACCCCCCCCCCCCATTTAAAAAATGATGTGTCAGGAAGTGGGGGGGGGGGAGAAGAAAATCCTTTGGTTGACCTGGGATGGCATCTAGCCACCACTCAAGGTAAAGCCCGAGGTTTGAGTTGGAGGTGAGGACAGAAACCTAGGAAGAAGTGGGTTAAAATAACTCACTTTCTCCTGGGTTTCTGCCATGTCTGGAAGAGCCCATAGTCATACTTGTAGTAGAGTCACTGAAATAAACAGTATTTAAGGTTATTATGAATAACAATTTCCTTTGGTACTATCCCAATGGTGGGGTGGGATGAATAAAATTTGTTGGAGTGAATAAAGTTTGTTGCCTGTCACCTAACTAAATTACCAATTTTTACAATAACTTCTCACACAATACCAGAGTTTTATCATAATTTGACTATTGTGATTTATGATTTATATTGTATCATGTTATGCATATGTAGCTACATGGCAGAGGCTCTAAGGAACATTTGTCAAACTCAAAGGCTGTGAGCCAAATTCAGCCCGCCATGTAATTATATGTGGCCCTCCAGATGCTGCACTACAACTCCTATATTCCTCACCATTAGACATCATGACTTGAACTGATTGGAGTTGTGATACAGTAACATCTGGAAGTCTGCAGTTTGTTCTGTTTAGTCATAATAGTGGAGTTTGAATTTAGATACAAGGCTTGTGGATATGATGTTAGAGGTCCCTTCTACACTGCCATATAATCTATCAAAGCAGATAATCCACATTATCTGCTTTGAACTGGATTATGTGTGTCTACGCTGCCAGATAATCCAGTTCAAAGCAGATAACCTGGATTTTATATGGCAGCATAGAAAGGGCCTGACTTTAAAATGTCCTTTCACCTTTCCGCAACCTCAGAACAATTGGGTTGCAATTCCCATCATCCCAAATCCACATGGTGGATAATCACAAGTAATGAAATTGTAATTCATCAATACTTGGGGATCCAAACTGGGTAAACATTAAAGAGCACTGGCCACTATGGAAAATATAATTGGCCCTTTGTATCTATGGATTCACCATTCATGGATTTAATGACCCTTTGAAGGAAGCCCCAAGGCTGATGTGGTGCTGGCACCCTAGCTCTAAGAAACATCAGGCATCAGGGAATTGTGAAGATGCATAAAGGGACACCAAGGGTGTCCTGGTGCACATTAGACTCTACCAATATTGTGTATCTATATTCCCTAGCTCGTGTCCTGATGCACACTGGATACCATTTTGAATCAGTCCTGTAGCACATTGGAATCTAGTATGTATTGGTCCCATTGTGCATTGGTCCCATCGTTCACAATGCCAATTTCTCTTGTGCATCCCCTTGTGCAACCATCCCAATGTGAAACAGTCACTTTAGTGGTTTAACAGTAGTATAAAAGTAGACTCTTGCTAAATACAAGCATTGTGAAACTGCTCAATGCTATTTCCTTCATGACTCCCTCATTGAAAAACAACCGACTTTATCACATTAAGGCAGGGAAGTGTTTGGCACAGTAGAGCTCAGTTTTACTCTATTTTGTAATGAAACAGATGTTTTCCCTACCTTCATCACACTGTTAAATATCTGTTTTCCTTCCATATTCTTTCACTGCAGTTGCCTTCACACTGCAGAGATTTGGCCCCACCCACCTTCCCTCTCCCTGCTCACTATTGAAAAAAAAACCCTCCTCTCTTTGAAATCACTATTAACATGAAACCACATAGGTGAGATCTGAGAAATTCTGAGCATGCTCTGTCTGTTCAAACACTACATGCTGCCGAAGGAAGGAACCTGAGAGTAACAAATGCTGTCACATTACAGATTTGACAAAATATCTGGATCATTTCAAAGAATCCACTTCCACATCACCTCCAGAAATGTAGGAAAAGAATGCTGCCCCCCACACTTAAAATGCGCAAATAATGCTGTACCTTACACTTGAACCGAAACCGATGTGATGAACACAGTGAGCTATTGGATTTTAAGTGTAGGGCTCAGTGGAATTTAACTAATGTGATGAAGTGGAGCATGTGGATCAAGAATAGGTATCTACAGACCCACTGCCAAGACCCTAGACTTGGAAGGGAATCATAATCCGCCATGAGTGATAGCCTATGAATGAATGAATGAATGACTACCAACTAATTTGTCTTGATATTCCCCAAACTAGAACATAAGTAAAGATTTAGCTTTCCTCTCCTGGATTATCTTTGACCGAAACTTTGATGTGCTTTACTAATATTGTAAGAATTGGTGTGTCTGTTGTTTGATACTTTCCAAACAAACATGTAGAACATTTCAGAAAAATCCCAACAAATTTATTTCCATATGAACAAATATATATGTACATTAATTTAATAGTTACATGTTAAATGTTCCATAATTAAATATCAGGGATTCAGGATCACTTCCTTTTTCACCACACCGAATCCTGCTGTAAAAACCTACTCTGGAGTGAGTAGATTAGTACCAATCATATCGTGCAGAACTTCAACCTGAAAAGATATAAATGATTTGCACCTGAATTAATATGCTTAGAAAAGCCCTAAAATCCTGGATAAAAGGAGCATTATTTCTCCATTACAATGAACATGAATTTACAATATATTGATATTTCTGTATAGCCTTTTTGTCTAGCATTGCCTTTTAATTCTACTTCCAGGTAAAACTGCAATGGCTTTTAAAAGAGACCGTAACAGGGACTGATGGGACTAAATTAAGGTGGTAAAGCTTACCTTTTTTCTGTCCACTTCACCCAAATTTCTTAGTGCATACACAGTGACTAATCCATCACTGTCCCCAATAAGAAGGCAATCTGCATTTTTAGCAAAAAGTACTGTTGTGATTTTCAAATTTCCAGTAGCAGGATTTACAATCAGGGGATCCAATCTATATGCAAAAGAGTAAGACACACAGCAGAGAGCCATAGCTGTGAAACTGTTTGGCGCATCCCATTGTTGGATACTGCTTTCTTACATTATTCTCTGTTTGTCTCCTAAATTACTTTTTCCAAACAGTAATTTCCATGTTGGCTCGGGAAACTAATGAATGCCACACAATTGAGCCAAGGCTCTTCATCATGCTGATATTTGGCACGGCATAATTGGTTCCACTATGTACCAGTGTTGAACTCCAGCTAGTGATGGTGCTGTGATTAGGCCTCTTGGAGAATAATGTGAAACTTTAGAGATGGGGAAAACTATGGGCTGCCTCAAATTGTTAGTCTCAGCTGGTGTAGCTTCATCAAAGGTGGGTACCGCATGCAACCCATGGTGATTCCAGTCCATTTTGTTTGTTTTTTTACTTCTCCTTCAAACAGTCGACATGATAGGCAAGATTTTTAAAGTGAATGTAAAATGCTCATTCAAGGACTTCCACCAATCAGAAGTTATATAATACTAGAATCATAGTGTTGGAAGAGACCTCAAGGGCCATCCAGTCCAACCCCCTAGCATGCAAAAAAAATCCTTTAAAGCATCCAGACAGATGGCTAGTCACCTCTGCTTAAAAACCTCCAGAAAAGGAGACTCCACCAAACTCTGAGGCAGCCCATTCCACTGCCAAATAGTTCTTAATGTCAGGAAGTTAATTCTAAGGCTTAGGTGGAATCTTTTTCCTGCAATTTGAATCCATTGCTGTATGTCCTAGCGTGCACCCAGACAATGCCTAAAATGTGCAAGTGCCCATGTTTTTCCCTAGGGTGTCCAAATGACACCTCAGGTAAAAACAAATTATTTCAGTACAAAGCAGGAAAACCCTGCTTTATCCCAAGTTAATTTGACACCTGGGAAGACCCAGGTCTTTCAGAGGACTTGGGTCTTTCCAGGTGTGAGCACTGTGTGGATTGGGCCCAAGGTTGCACTGCACGATATCTGATCCCAATCCACACAGGTGTCTCAGGTTTTTTGGTTCCTGGAGCCCTAAACCCCCAAGGCAGCCCTCACACCCTCCCAAAATCCCTTTATAAAGCCTCAAAACTCAAAAATAACTTACCCAGCCACCATTCCCACTTCTCCGGAGCTCTCCTGGTACATCATTTCTACCTGCCAGGAGATCTCCATAGAAGAGGGAATGGTAGGCAGGTAAGTTATTTTGAGTTTTAAGGTTTTTCGGAGGGGGGGCTTGTTTTGTGTACGGGTCCATCTGGTCACCACCCACCCAGGAAAGCATAGATGTTGGGGTGAAGTGTGTGGACCTTAACCCAGGCCAAATAAGGAACCCGATTGTGCCGGGGTTAAAGTCATGTGTGGAACCACCCCTAGTCTACAGAGCAGCAGAAAGCAAGTTTTCTCCCTCCTCAATGTGATATTCTTTCAAATATTCAAACATGGCTCTCATGTCCTTTCTCAGTCTTCTCTTTATCAAGCTAAAGATACCCAGTTCTCTCAGCTGTTCCTCATGGGTCCTGGTTTCCAAACCTTTGATCATTTTGTTGCCTTTCTATATACACATTCTAGCTTGCCGATATCCTACTTGAATTGTGGTGCCTAGAACTGTGGTTGCTCCACAAATAGGAATGTTTATACGTGTGTCGTTTGTGTATGTTTGTCTTTACATTGTTAGTGTGCACAATTTTTACTGTAAACCGCATTGAGTCGCCGGTCACGGCTGATAAATGCGGTGTACAAATAGCGTAAATAAATAAATAAATAAATAAAGCTTCACAATGGTTTAAAAATTATCAATTATAATGGAATTCTACGCCATATATCATACACTGTTTTCAAAAATAAGCCGGTAGGATGCATTTGGCTACTTGTGCTATGGATGCAGTTTAAGAAAGGCTGTTAACTTACGTGCTGACACTAAGGTCCCAGATTTCCACTTGAGATTCATTTGCAGCTGCAAACACATATGGTGAATGAGGAGACCACATTATGTCATAAAGGACGTTGGTGGTAGAACTGAGGGTCATAATAGGACGAACTGAATCCTGCCGCCACAACATAATACTCCAGTCTGCAGAGCAACTTAGAAATATTTCTGTACTGAATGGGTTCCATGCTAATTTGTACACAGGACCCTTCATGACAGGGCAGAGGAAGGAGGGAGAGAGAGAGAAAGAGTAATTTTCACAAAAGGCCTTCATAGTACAATGAAAGTGTGCTAACATCAGGAAGCAGGGAACCTCTTCACATTATGTTCCATTTTCATCCTGGTATAATCCCTGTTTGATTTTGCATCAAAAATACAGTATGGCCTTGTTGGATCCTCCATTATATGTTCCAAGTATTCTCTAAATCAGAATACTTGCAAAAGGTATCTTTTGCACCAAAAATACAGCATGATCTCCCCGTAGCCTCCTTTATATGACTCTTCCATTATATGTGAATAATGAAACTGTGAATAATAGCAAACCCTATATTTTGACCTCACTTGAGCTGAAAACCGCCCATAGAATTGCACCAGAGAATCTAGAAAGGAAATGTTTATTGGAGTGTAGGCAACTGAAAGCATGTAAAAGGGGTCGTACTGCAACCAGATTGTGATTCCAGGACAGGTTATTTTTCTACGTGGTTTCAATGGTGCAAAAGATCCTTTTTGCAAGTATTCTGAGTTAGAGATCAAGTACATATTTTGTGGGTATGAAGTAGGTATGGTTTTGCTAGGTGCTCCTACTTGCTTTGTTAAAATCTTAAAGGAAATCATTAACATCACTATAAAGAATGCTGGGGAAGATCCCTACTGTATTGAATGTTTAACTATACATACTTTGTGTCCTGTGTAGGTCTCCATGTATTGTTCATTATAGGAACAAGAGCATTTGTGAATATAGCCTTCTTCTGTTCCAACCACATATATATTAGTATCCTAAAATATAAAATAAAATAAAAATCACTTTGAGTCATTTTTACTTCAGGTTTTGCAAAATGATTGAAAGCTTGTTTCTGTCTTTTCCTGGTAAAAGCTGGAATCATTACTCAAAGGTGTAGTGGAATTCTCAAAAGTTCCACTAACTGTGTAACTAGATTTTATAAAGAAATAAGGAAAAGGAATGAGACAAAAGCACCAATAAAACACTCAATTTTCTATTATTCAGCTGCAGGGATATTTCATGTAAGGCATATATTTCACCACCACCATCCTTTATGGGACAATCATCTCCAGACAGAAAAATGTGCACTAATAGTGTTTAGGAAGCTATTTCATGAAGAGAAAAAAAATAATCAAGTCCTATATTAAGCACCAGTATAAATGCTGGTGAAGCATTATGAGTCAGCTGGTCTGTTGAGAACAATTCATTAGCTTACTTACTTTTGGGTGAAAATCAAAGGATAGCCCCGGAACTTGTCGTGATATCAGTGCTTCGCTTTTCTTTTCGGCTCCTTTTCTCTTATCACTTGTTGTTCGCTTTAACTTCATCAGGTCTGCACAGAGAAGCAAACAGCATGTCAAAAGTCAGATTTAATTATAACTCTAGAGATAATTACTTATCTTGTATTTTCATTGTTAAAAGATGGGGGAAAGAAAAAGAAATAATTTCCCATAACAAATTTACATATTGTGCTTGTTCAACCCTATTGCGTGCAGGATTTTAAAAATGGAATTGACATTAAAAAGAAAACATGTTGACACGCGCACACACAGTCATAAGGGAAATGAACAGTATTCAAAATTATTCTTGTGTGCCTTCAGGATATTTTCTAATGTATGCTGATCTGAAGGCAAACCTATTGCAGAGTTTCCTAAAAGTTTGGTTCAGAAGGTTTGCCACTGGCTTCCTCTTAGCTGAGAGCAAGTGACTTTTCCAAGCTCACCCAGTGGGTTTGCATGTTTGAGTGGAGGATTGAACACTGCTGTCCAATACCCAAATCACCAAACCACACTGGTTATCTAGTATGAAATATGTGTATGAATTATGCTCATAACCAATTATCCAACTTTGCTTCTTATCTGAAAAAAACCTTATCCAAACTCTTGAGAATAACAGTATCCCAATATGTTTTGTGCAAGACGACAATACTTACCAGTGCAGCTCAATCCTTTCCGAACAAACCACTTAGTTACTCTTCCGTCTGCTGATATAGAGACCAGGATCTCCCCTTTGTCTTCTCCTTTTGTCCCCCTGTCCTGCTCTACCCACTTCAGCTGCCACACAGGGCCTAGGTGTTTCTCACTAGATTCACTGAAACGTAAGAGTGGCACACACACACACAGAGAGAAAGAGTTAGGAAATATCATTGAGGTGCATACAGTATATAAGGTAACTAAGAGTTATATACCACTTAAAAGCTTAAAATTGAACTTCTGCATGCAGAAAAAAGGTGATGCTGGTCTTTCTAACAGAAATTGAGGATTGGGATGTACCAAAGAACTGATAAGATTTACATTAAAAGGCTAATGTGAACCAGAAACCTAACCATATAGACCATCCATAGTGGGAAACTGAACATATGCGAACTTTTGCACCTTAAACCTTTCTCAAATGGAAAAAAAAATATTCCCAGTAGTGGAGAGGTAACATGGTAATGAATAGAAAATAATTATTTTTTAAAAGAATAGTATGGAATGTGTCTTACATGATCTGCTTTGGAGAACTTTTGTATTAATGACCCAAAAGGCATAAATCAGATATGGAAGTGATCCAACAAGAATAGTATCCATACCTGTTATCCAAAACGGAATGACGATTACGAGTCTGGACATTGAACAGTTCAATTGTCCCATTAAACAGTCCAACTGCTAGCAAGTTTGGATTAGTTGCTGAAAAATCCAGTGCAGTTACACCATGATGACATTTATAGACACGCTCTGGCCACTGAACATGAAAAAAATAGCTTGCTTTAGCTGAAAGAGCATTCACACATTACAGACCATAGGTTTCAAAGTAGACTTTGGGAAAGGTCAGCCACTATGAATATTAATTGGGCCTTTTTTCTAGCATATTTTTACAATGAACTATTAACAGTTGTAAATAGTCAGTTGTAAAATATTTGTGGGCTCTGGAAGTGTGGAATCAACCAACTGCACCCCCAAACTACACTGCTGTATACAACACAATACACAATGCTTTACACAATGCAAGCAATATAGTTCATACAATACTATGTTTATGAGGCTGGGGAGGGTGCAGGATGTATGAAATAGCAGTCATAGCAGTCAAATAGAAGTGTGGCACTTGTTGCACTCCCTTCATTTAAGGCAGTGGTTCTCAATCTGTGGGTTGTGGCCCCTTTGGGGGTTGAACGACCCTTTCACAGAAGTCGCCTAAGACTATCAGAAAACACATATTTCCGATGGTCTTAGGAACCAAGATACTGCTAACTTTTCCCCGCCCTCTTCACTTCCCATGGCTGCTTCTTCTTCTCTAGAGGGAGGTGCTGATGTCACTCAGCTCCCACCCCTTCATGCCCTCTGCCATTTTAGGAGGAAGAGAGAGGAGTGATAGAGGTGAGGTGTGTTTTGGAGCCAAGGGGGAAAAGAAATGAGGAGGAGGAAGTGGAAGTGAGAAGAAAGAAGGTGAAGGAGCAGGGTCTAAGGAGCAGGGTCTAGGGAGAGGGGCCTGGGGAGGGGGGGGCAGGGCTTAAAGAGGGGTGGAGTGGCTCCTCTATGGCCAAATCCCAGGGAGAAAGAGAAGTAACAATGAAAATACATCCTGCATATCAGATATTTACATTACGATTCATAATAGTAGCAAAATTACAATTGTGAAGTACAAACTAAAATCATTTTATGGTTGGAGGTCACTACAACATGAGGAACTGTATTAAAGGGTAACAGCATTAGGAAGGTTGAGAACCACTGATTTAGAAATCCGCGTGTTTTTCTGCATCTCTTGCATCTCTTTTTTGCCACTCATAGACAGAAGTGTGTATCTGGCATTCTCCTTGAAGGCAATGGATCCTGAAGAACGCTTGCCTAGTGACTAGGAGTTCCCACTACTCTCTGTACCATTTTATTAATAAAAACCGCAGCATCTACTTTTTTGCCATCTGCATGGGATCTTGGAATCAAACCCCATGGATACTAGTGGCCAAAAATATTGTTCTCTCATTCAATAAAGTGAAATGCAATAAATTCAATATTGTTAGATACCTCTTATTCATACATTCACATGTCCAGAAAAAACAAATCAGAAGACTTGCTCACTGATTAAAGACTAAAAAACACTTCTGAAGTTATATATCTCTATTTGTTAATGGAGATTCATATTTGTTTGTTTATTCAATTTATACCCCCATCTTTCTATCCAGAGTAAGAGGAGATTGCAAGGATAATGTAAAGGAGTAGGTTCAGGTGACATCTGATTGGTCGTGGGGCATCAACAAATGCCCAACCATGCCAGCTCTTGACAGAGACTCTATCCATGAACACAGCAGGTCTCGGGGAGTTAAATTAAAATCATTCTATACTTCAGAAAATAGAAGGCAGGCTGTAATGCACAACTGGAGATCTTATGAAATCATTTTCTTAAGGGACTAAACAGGAATAAAAACAAAATATACCACCTTTTCACAATTCACCAAATATAAGTCAAAATCACAAGCAAAGGAAGGGCCAAAATATTACCATAGGGTTCTTCAGTGACCAACAGCATGCCAAGCCTTCCTTCTGGTCCTTAAAACGAAACTGCCCATAACCTACAGCCAATAGATCCTTTAAAAACAAACAAGCCAAACAATATAGATTACAACACTGCCAATTAATAACAAAACTATTGAAATAGCTATGTGTACAGCCTTTGAGGCTCTGTTTAATTTGAAAAATGCAACTAAATATCAGCATTGGCCGGGCTAGCTAATGTTTTGTTGCCTGGAAATGTAGCAGTGGATGATCTGACCCAGAATATTCCACCTGTCCCTGGCACTCAAAGCACAACATAAATAAATAACAATTTAGTGCTCTTTGTGGCTCCTTAAATATGCCTGCTGGTTTATCTATAGGATGGCAAAGCTGGCCCCGAAAAGAGCAAGGCTATACAGTTTTAGGTTTTAGGTTACCACTGCTTTTGCTCCATGCTATCATCTCTACTACTGGAACCTATTTACATCAGCTGGTATTTCTACTATGTTTGGTAAGGTAAATGTTGGTTAAAATGGTGAAAACTCTACTTGTGGTTCATTAAGCTGCTGTAATGTTGAGATACAGTATAAAGAAATTTTCTAAGTGCTGAGATAAACAAGAGAATATACAAAAACCCACATTCAGACCTTATGACATGAGATGTTGACATGAGAGGGAGTATGCTGAAGATTGGCATCTGGGACCCCTTCTAGGTAACGGTTTTCCCCTGACATTAAGTCCAGTCATGTCCAACTCTGAGAGTTAGTGCTCATCTCCATTTCTAAGTTGAAGAACCATCATTGTCCGTAGATGCCTGCTACACTGCCATATAATCCAAATTATAAAAGCAGAAAATCAACATTATCTGTTTTGAACTTGATTATATGTGTCTACACTGCTATATAATCCAATTCAAAGCAAATAATCTGGATTTTCTGTGGAAGTGTAGAAGGGGCCTGTGAGTAAATTAAGAAGAGATGGAGGAAAAAGGTGAAGAAGTGAGGAAACAAAATTCTCAGGAGGGACAAAACGGTATATTGTTTTAAGGAAAGCTCACAAGGAAGGCAGGTGCATTGGGCATGAAAGCAAATTGACCAAAAACCAAAACAAAAAAAAACTTCTTAAAAAGAGAACGTTGCTGATCCTGAGGTGGTTGGCATAAAGCTATGAGTGCAGCCATTGAAAAGCAAGGTATATCAGCCATGTCAGGGCAGAGAAAATACACAGTGCAAGTACGTAGAAAGAGAAACTCCCCCTGGTGCATGTATCAGGTATTTTCAGGAACAACATTTTCTTACCTGTTTTAAAGACCAATTAGCATATAATGGATTGTTACTGATTGCCAGTTTCCAAATGATTAGCTATCAGGCTGCTCTTCTGGCCTATGCAGTTATGGTTAAAATCACGTAGGAGATAGCCTCTTTAATGCATCAAATACACTTTTTCCTTCCAGAGATATGCTTCCTTGCATATCCAGCTTTGTCTGGGGTATAGGTTGAGTTTTGACACTGACATTTTCAATTATTAAACCAGGGGTCCTCAAACTGAGGCCCGGGGGCCGGATACGGCCCTCCAAGGTCATTTACCCAGCCCTCGCTCAGGGTCAACCTAAGTCTGAAATGACTTGAAAGCATACAACAACAACAACAACAACAACAACAACAACAACAACAACAACAATCCTATCTCATCAGCCAAAAGCAGGCCCACACTTCCCATTGAAATACTAATAAGTTTATATTTGTTAAAATTGTTCTTCATTTTAATTATTGCATTATTTTAAAGTGGTTTTTTTTTTGCACTACAAATAAGATATGTGGAGTGTATAGGAATTCATTCATGTTTTTTGCAAATTATAATCCAGCCCTCCAACAGTTTGAGGGACTGTGACCTGGCCCTCTGTTTTAAAAGTTTGAGGACCTCTGCTTTAAACAGATGGGAAAGATGAATAAATAAGCTCTTTCTTACTGGATTCAGCTTGTTCCAAGTCATACAGCTCACATTGTTGCCTCGAGTAAAATCACATCCATAGGTCCACAAAGCTTCCATAAAAGGCGGTAGTATTTCTTTTCTCCCTTCACCAAGTTCTAATAGCAAAGATGACCTAACCGATAGCGGCTCTTCTGCTTCCTCCTCCTCCTCTTCCTTCTCTGACTCAACATATGATTCAGTTTCACTTGTTGCAGATTTCCTTTCTGGTTCTAGGATATAATAATAATAATAATAATAATAATAATAATAATAAGAAGAAGAAGAAGAAGAAGAAGAAGAAGAAGAAGAAGAAGAAGAAGAATGAGTGCAGATCCCAGTAGGATGGCCTTTTGCAGCTGGCAGATGATAATCTTGTCAGCACCAATTATGTTTAAGAAGAAGAAGAAGAAGAAGAAGAAGAAGAAGAAGAAGAAGAAGAAGAAATTCTCAAAGTACAGCAGACAAAGAACCAGTACAAGAAAACTGCACTCCAAACCAGAGCTGACAGCTGGCACAGCAAAGCATTGCATGGGCAGTTCCTTGACAAAATTGAAGGAAAAGCTGACAAGGAGAAGACCTGGTTATGGCTTACAAATGGAACACTGAAGAAGGAGACAGAAGGCCTGATTTTTGCAGCCCAGGAGCAAGCCATCAGAACCAATGAAATTAAGGCCAGGATGGAAAAATCAGCTGATGACCCAAAATGTAGACTGTGCAAGGAAGCTGATGAAACCATGGACCATATCCTCAGCTGTTGCAAGAAAATCACACAGATGGACTACAAACACAGGTACAACTGTATGGCCCAGATGATTCACTGGAACGTATGTCACAAGTACCACCTCCCAGCAGTAAAGAATTGGTGGGATCATAAACCCGCAAAGGTCATGGAAAATGAACATGCAAAAATACTGTGGGACTTTTGAATCTAGACTGACAAAGTTTTGGAACACAATGCAACATCACTATTGTGGAAAAGAAAAAAGTCTGAATTATTTATGTTGCCATACCAGGTGACAGTCACATTGAGGAAAAACAACAGGAAAAACTCAAACTTGTCAACCTCAAAATCGAACTGCAAAAGCTCTGGCATAAACCAGTATAGGTGGTTCCAGTGGTCATTGGCGCACTGGGTGCCATGCCAAAAGATCTCGGCTGGCATTTTGAAACAATAAACATCGACAAAATCACGCTCTGTCAACTGCATAAGGACACCTTACTTGGATCTGTGCGCATCATTCGAAAATACATCACACTGTTCTAGACACTTGGGAAGTGTTCGACTTGTGATTTTGTGATACGAAATCCAGCATATAGATCTCGTTTGCTGTAACATACTGTGCTTTTTTGTCAATAACAACAACAACAACAACAACAACAACAATAATAATAATAATAACAACAACTTGTGCCACAAATACCATCTGCCTGTGACAAAGAACTGGTGGGATCACAAGCCGGAAAAGATTACAGAAAATGAACATGTCAAACTCCTCTGGGACTTCCGAATTCAGACAGACAGAGTTTTGGAGCATAATACTCCTGACCTCACAATCATGTTACAAAACAGAGTGTGGATTGTCAATGTTGCAATCCCAGGCGGCAGCAGGATTGAAGAGAAACAACTGGAAAAGCTGACACGATATGGGAATTTAAAGATTGAACTGCAAAGACTCTGGCACAAACCAGCAAAGGTGGTCCCAGTGGTGATTGGCACACTGGGTGCAGTGCTTAAAAACCTTGGCCTGCACTTAAACATAATTGGCGCTGACAAGATTATCATCTGCCAGCTGCAAAAGGCCATCCTACTGGGATCTGCACTCATTATTCGCCGATACATCACACAGTCCTAGACACTTGGGAAGTGTCCGATGTGTGATCCAATACAACAGCCAGAAGGGGGATATTGTTTGCTGTGGACTCATCTTGTTGTGTTTCAAACAACAACAACAATGATGTTATTTTTATATCCCTCCACTATCTCCCTGAACAGACTCGGAGCGGCTTACTTCATTCTCAACACATTTAAAAAAGGTTGTGACACACAAACAAAGGTTTGCCATGTAATCAACTTTCCTCATGTTTTTATGATAAAAGCAGTGAGGAACAGACATGTATAATCCAGGAACAACAACCCATAGTTCCCAAGCACAAGTAAATGTCAAACTTGTCTGGAGATGGCCACACAGCTTCTATAACCCAGGAACAGAATTTATACAATGATTTGCATATTTGCATCTTAAGTATATTTTAAAAAAAAACCCACTGAAGTCTCTAAATCCCACAACAAAGCAGCAAGTGTGGGTGATGGAGGCAGAAATCCCTGGACCAACAGGGATGTATCGGCGAATAATGAGTGCAGATCCCAGTAGGATGGCCTTTTGCAGCTGGCAGATGATAATCTTGTCAGCGCCAATTATGTTTAAGTGCAGGCCAAGGTTTTTAAGCACTGCACCCAGTGTGCCAATCACCACTGGGACCACCTTTGCTGGTTTGTGCCAGAGTCTTTGCAGTTCGATCTTTAAACCTCTTCCCAGGTCCCGGTTTTGTTTTGTTTTGTTTTGTTTTTGCCCCTGACTAAAACCCACAATTTGGTGCTGTCTGGAAACACCCAAAGCCTTCTTTTGCAGTTCCAACCAATAAATGTTATGGCCTTTCAAACCCAACAGATGGTGTAAGTGTGTTGCCTTGCTTGAACACTCACTCTTCCTTTCACTAAGGCCCCTTCCACACTGCTGAATAAAATCCCATATTTTTCTGCCTTGCACTGGAATATATGGCAGTGTGGACTCAGATAACCCAGTTCAAAGCAGATATTGTGGGATTTTCTTCCTTGATATTCTGGGTTATATGGCTGTGTGGAAGGGCCCTTACTGGAGATGCTACAATTTGAATTCACAGGAAAAAGGAAACAGGGATATTCTCTAAAACAGTGGTTCTCAACCTTCCTAATGCCGTGACCCCTTAATACAGTTCCTCACGTTGGGGTTAACCCCCCTCCCAACCATAAAATTATTACTGTTGCGACTTTGCTACTTCATAACTGTAATTTTGCTACTGTTATGAATCGTAATGTAAATATCTGTTATGCCAGATGTATTTTCATTCAGTGGACCTAATTTGGCACAAGTACCAGATATACCCAAATTTGAATACTGGTGGGGTTGGGAGGATTGATTTTGTCATTTGGGAATTGTAGTTGCTGGGATTTATAGTTAACCTACAATCAAAGATCATTCTGAACTCAACTAATGATGAAATTGAACCAATTTTGGCACATAGAACTCCCATGACCAACAGTAAAATACTGGAAGGGTTTTGTGGGCACTGACCTTGAGTTTGGGAGTCGTAGTTCACCTCCATCCAGAGAGCATTGTGGACTCAAACAATGGTGGAGCTGGACCAAATTTACCACAAATATTCAATATGCCCAAATGTGAACACTGGTGGAGTTTGGGGAAAATAGGCCTTGACATTTGGGAGTTGTAGTTGTTGGGATTTATAGTTCATCCACAATCAAAGAGCATTCTGAACCCCATCAATGATAGAATTGGGCCAAACTTCCCACACAGAACACCCGTGATCAACAGAAAATACTGTGGTTGTTGTAGGGTTTTTTTGGGCTATATGGCCATGTTCCATGTTCTTAGAACCTACAACAACCCAGTGATTCCAGCCACGAAAGCCTTTGACAATATAGAAATTACTGTGTTTTCTGGTGGTCTTTGGCGACCCTCCTCACACTCCTCGCAACCCCCCCAAGAGTCCTGACCCCCAGGTTGAGAAACACTGCTCTAAAATGTCTTTTTTAAACATACAATCCAAGCAATTTCTTGCAAAAAAAGAACAGAAAGCTACATTTTAGTAAACGAAGTATGTTTTTTGTGATATGGGTGGCTTAACCCTGGGATCATTCATTAGCTATGGGTTTCACAAATCATTCCCACCTATTCCTCCCATAAATGGTTTGTACAGTTATTAAAGTATTTATATCCCATTCCTATCACAAGATTTCAGTTTTACAGTGAAGCCATTTAAATCAGAGACCTACACATTCACTTTAAGAAGCCTGAAAATCTATTTTTCAACTCAAGCTGAGAATCAAATATCTGATTTAAAATGTACCTGAAAAGATAGGAAGCTGCCGATAAGCTGCAAGCTTTGGCTGGAAAATATTCTCCATGAGGACCCTCTCCATGAAAAATAAATCTTGATGAAATTTTTCACATTTTAGTATCGCTTCTGCACGGTCTTCTACTTCTTCATGGATTCGGGAGAGAATTACACTTTCCAGATCAATGATGGAACTTGATGCTGTGCTCTCTGGGAGGGAGAAAAAAAGGTGCCGCAATGTCTGTACATTGAACAGAATAATTCAGGATATTTTAGAAATCTTGCCAAAGAAATTGCAAAATCTCCTTTCATTATCGGTACAGTACTTTCAGGATGATATAATTCAGCCATGCATAGAGTTAAAACTCACAGAATGCATGTAGAAAATCATAATTCTGTTGCTTGCCACTATTCTTTCTCATTGTCTGTTATGTCTATTCAGTCTTTGCAAACTTTTTTTTATTTTGATGGGTTATATATAAATGCATAAATTGCTAAAACACATAAAGCATAACTTCATAGAGTTTATTCCAGATATTCCAAAGCGTCATTCACAATTTAATAATTGGTTGCTCTAGGGGTGTTTTTGCCCCTACCCCAATTTTCTGTGTATGTGTGCGTTTAATTTCAGGATTTCTTCTGTGTGTAAGGAGGCCCCTTCCACATAGCTGTATAAAGTCCCACATTATCTGCTTTGAACTGGATTATATGGCAGTGTGGACTCAGATAACCCAGTTCAAAGCAGATATTTTGGATCATCTGCCTTGATAGTCTGGATTATATGGCTGTGTGGAAGGGCCCTAAATTGCATTAAAGAGAGATAATAACTGTATATACTCAAGTATAAGCCTAGTATTTCAGCCCGTCTTTTAGGCTGAAAAAGCTCCTCTCTGCTTATACTCGAGTCAAGGTTATTTATTATTTTACTCTGTTATTAGTATTATTTTTATTTCATGTATTATTTTCCTCTCCTTATTATTATTACATTTACAGTATTTTACCCTATTATTTATTACATTTATTATTCTACTCTATTATTACTGTTATTATTGCATTTCCATTATTTTACTTTATTATTATTATTATATTTATTATTTTACTCTATTATTGTTGGAAGGATACGTAAGTACATTTACATTGAAGATATGTAATGATTTAATCAGAGTTGGGCAGTCTTATCTCAAATTACAGTTTTATGTAAATATTTAAAAAACATTTCACCTCCTGATGCCTCAATTAATGTAATTTTATTGGTATCTATTTTTATTTTAAAATTTACCTGTAGTGGCTGCATTTCCCACCCTCAGCTTATACTCGAGTCATTATGTTTTCCCAGCTTTTTGTGGTAAAATTAGGTGCCTCGGCTTATGTTCGGGTCGGCTTATACTCGAGTATATACGGTATTTCCTGACATCAGATTGGCCACCTCCCTCCTGTCTTTCAGAAGGAAACCTAAGACCTGGCTGTGGGACCAAGTGTTCGACTAGTAATAACAGCAAGTAAAAGAAGTTTTAAGACAATGAACTGACCCAGACTGGACCTTGGACTCTGGATTTTGGATTCTGATTTTAATAGGTGTTTTTTAATCAATTGTTTAATTACTGTTTTTAATATTTTAATGTATTGCTGATTGTTGATTGTTTTTATGATGTCGGCATCCAATTATGCCGCCCCGAGTCCCCACTCGGGGGTGAGAAGGACAGGGTAAAAATATAGGAAATAAATAAATAAATATCTAGATAAGTATAACACTGCAATTAACAGTGCAGTGTAATACATATCTACTCAGGAATAAGAACCGTTTAATCAAATGTTTCAGGAAAACTTACCTCGGTCCACAGAAACTGTAGATGTGGTTCTGTCGTAGTCTTTGAGTACACCTGATTTACTGCAAGTAATACTTTCTGGATGACCAGTTTTCTCTACCGATGCTACTTCCAATGCATTAAAAGAATCATATAAATCCCAGACAGTGGCCATTATCTCTAGAAACAAAGGACATTATTGATAGCATTTTGATACATGCATACCTCTTACATGTTATACTACAAGGATACATAGTTAAATAGATAGTTATACTTTGAATAACAATAGTGAAGCATTTTTAAACTAATGCATGTATAGCTTTGTGAAGTCCCATTTTGAGTATGTTAGATTTTTTAAATCTTTCTTTGGCTGGTTTGCAAACATACACACATATCCATGCTTCTTTTGTGTACATTTCCCCCAAGATTGTATTGTTCTCATTTTAGAAATGCATTTCCCTGATAGAAAAATGTTGTTACAGGGCATATATTTCCAAATCCATACATTTTAAAAGATGCACATTCTTTCATATATATTTTATAAAGTGTGGATTCTCCTGATAGCAGTTTCAAGAAAAGTGGATATTCCATCCAGATGAACCCACATCAAAATGCAGACCGACAAAATAGTTTCTTACACACCCTCCTGGAGTGCCATATAAAATCCAGATGATCTGCTTTGAACTGGATTTTATGACAATGTATACTCATATAATCCAGTTCAAAGCAGATAATCTGGATTATCTGCTTTGACAATTTGGATTATATGGCAATGTAGAAGGGGCCACAGATGAAACAAACAGATGCACTGTATAAGTGTTCCTATAGTTTGTGTTTGTGTTTTCCTGTTCCTTTAAGACTGGATCTATGTTCCCCTACATCCCAGGATCTGATCCAAGATTACATGTTTATCCCAGATTATCAAGCAGTGTACACTCATATAATCCAGTTTAGATCATATAATCTGGTATCCGATCCTGGGATATAGGGCGACATAGATCCAGCCTTAGAGGAACAGGAAAACATAAAACTGCCACATACATAATCTAGTTTCTGATCCCAGATTATCTCCTTTGAACTGGATTATATGGCAGTGTAGACTCATATAATCCAGTTCAATGCAGATAATATGGGATCAAATACTGGATTATATGTGTAGATCCAGCCTAGGACAGTGGTCTCCAACCTTTGGTCCACCAAATATTTTGGACTTCAACTCCACAATTTTTAACAGCTGGTAAACAACTGGAGGACCAAAGATTGGAACTGGAACTGGAGGACCAAAGACTGCTCTAGAAGGTTAGGAAGATTATGGTCAGAGTAATTAATCAACCTTCTTTTTAAATATATATATATATATATATTTATAAATGTGTCAAACAAAATGTATAAGCATACATTCTTCCCTCTTTTTACAATATCTTAGACAAAAGATTATTTCATATTATATACAATCTAACAGTAAAAGATAAAACATCAAAAACATCTTTAAACATATGTCTTATCATTATTTTTAAAACTTATTGTACATAAAACTCTATCACACACCTTTTATCTACTTATACATGATTTATTTCCTTATTATTATACGGTCCCCCCCACCCCTTACCCTTAGTTTGTGCCCCCTTCACCAGGACCAACCAACCTTCTAAGGTAGGTACGTGGAAAGTGCATCCAAGGCTGGATCTACACTGTCCTAGATCCCATGGTCTGATCCTAGATTATCTGCTTTGAACTGGATTATATGAGTCTACACTGCGAGACAATCTGAGATCAGATCCTGGCTAAAGATCTTGCAAAACTGCAACCCCCATTATTCTTTAGCATTGAGACATGGTAATTCAAGTGCTGTGAAACTGCACTAATTCTACCTTGTAAATGCACCCATAGTTGCCCACCCATCATCTGAACTCCCTAGTTTAAGACTTCATATTCTACAAAAGCTCCAGCAAAGGATCACCGCCTTGTCGGGGCGCTGGAGCTTGAGCACCTCAATGATGTCATGAGCGAAACCGTGAAGGGCCACCCAAGACGGGACGGTTGTGGCAGAGAGGTCAGACCAAGCTGTGATCCCTGGGGAAGGCAATGGCAAACCACTCCAGTATCCTTGCCAAGAAAACTAAATGGACCAGTACAACCAGAGATATGTCGGTATGCCATTGGAAGATGGGACTCCCAGGTTGGAAGATGGCCAAAATGCTACTGGGGAGGAGCAGAGGATAAGTTCAACTAGCCCCAGATGTGATGACGCAGCTAGCTCAAAGCCGAAAGGAAGGCTAGCGGCCGACGGTACTGGAGGCGAACGACGAATCCGATGCTCTAAAGTTCAACACACCATAGGAACCTGGAATGTAAGATCTATGAGCCAGGGCAAATGGATGTTGTTATTGGTGAGATGTCAAGACTAAAGATAGACATTCTGGGGGTCAGCGAACTGAAGTGGGACTGGAATGGGCCACTTCACATCAGATGACCACCAGATCTACTACTGCGGACAAGAGGAACATCGAAGAAATGGAGTAGCCTTCATAATTAATAAGAAATTCGCTAAAGCGGTGCTTGGATACAACCCAAAAAAGGACAGAATGATCTCAATTCGAGTGCAAGGAAAGCCTTTCAACATTACAGTGATCCAAATATATGCCCCAACCACAGCTGCTGAAGAAGCAGAAGTAGATCAGTTCTATGAGGATCTGCAGGACCTACTGGATAATACACCAAAAAGAGACATTATTTTCATTACAGGAGACTGGAATGCCAAGGTGGGAAGTCAAATGACAACTGGGATCACAGGCAAGCATGGTCTGGGAGAACAAAATGAAGTGGGACGCAGGCTGATAGAATTTTGCCAGGAAAACTCGCTGTGTATAACGAATACTCTCTTCCAACAACCTAAAAGACGGCTTTATACATGGACCTCACCAGATGGTCAACACCGAAATCAGATTGACTACATCCTTTGCAGCCAAAGGTGGCGGACATCTATCCAGTCGGTGAAAACAAGACCTGGGGCTGACTGTAGCTCAGATCACGAACTTCTTATTGCCCAATTTAGAATAAAACTAAAGAGATCAGGGAAAATACACAGACCAGTTAGATATGATCTCACTAACATTCCTAGCGAATATACAGTGGAAGTGAAGAACAGATTTGAAGGACTAGATTTAGTAAACAGAGTCCCAGAAGAACTATGGACAGAAGTCCGCGACATTGTTCAGGAGGCGGCAACAAAGTACGTTCCAAAGAAAAAGAAAACCAAGAAGGCAAAATGGTTGTCTGCTGAGACACTGGAAGTAGCCCAAGAAAGGAGGAAAGCAAAAGGAAACAGTAAAAAGGGGAGATATGCCCAGTTAAATGCGCAATTCCAGAGGTTAGCCAGAAGAGATAAGGAACTATTTTTAAATAAGCAATGCATGGAAGTGGAGGAAGACAACAGAATAGGAAGGACAAGAGACCTCTTCCAGAAAATTAGAAACATTGGAGGTAAATTTCAGGCAAAAATTGGTATGATAAGAAACAAAGATGGCAGGGACCTAACAGAAGCTGAAGAGATCAAGAGAAGGTGGCGAGACTATACAGAAGATCTGTATAGGAAGGATAATAATATTGAGGATAGTTATGACGGTGTGGTGAATGAATTAGAACCAGACATCCTGAGGAGTGAGGTTGAATGGGCCTTAAGAAGCAGTGCTAACAACAAGGCAGCAGGAGACGACGGGATCCCAGCTGAACTGTTTAAAATCTTAAAAGATGATGCTGTCAAGGTGATGCATGCCATTGCCAGCAAATATGGAAAACACAAGAATGGCCATCAGACTGGAAAAAATCAACTTATATCCCCATACCAAAAAAGGGAAATGCAAAAGACTGCTCAAACTTCCGTACAGTGGCCCTTATTTCTCATGCCAGTAAGGTAATGCTCAAGATCCTGCAAGGAAGACTCCAGCAATACATGGAGCGAGAGTTGCCAGATGTTCAAGCTGGGTTTAGAAAAGGCAGAGGAACGAGAGACCAAATTGCCAACATCCGCTGGATAATGGAGAAAGGCAGGGAGTTTCAGAAAAACATCTACTTCTGCTTCATTGACTATTCTAAAGCCTTTGACTGTGTGGATCATAATAAATTGTGGCAAGTTCTTGGTGGGATGGGCATCCCAAGCCACCTTGTCTTCTCTCCTGAGGAATCTGTACAAGGACCAAGGAGCAACAGTCAGAACTGACCACGGAACAACAGACTGGTTCAAGATTGGGAAAGGCGTACGGCAAGGCTGCATCCTCTCACCCAACCTTTTTAACTTGTATGCAGAACACATCATGCAATGTGCGGGGCTGGATGAATGCAAAGCTGGGGTGAAACATTAACAACCTCAGATATGCAGATGACACCACTCTGATGGCCGAAAGCGAGGAGGAGCTGAGGAGCCTTCTAATCAAGGTGAAAGAAGAAAGCGCAAAAGCCGGGTTGCAGCTAAACGTCAAAAAAACCAAGATTATGGCAACAAGAATGATTGACAACTGGAAAATAGAGGGAGAAACCGTGGAGGCCGTGACAGACTTTGTATTTCTAGGTGCAAAGATTACTGCAGATGCAGACTGTAGCCCGGAAATCAGAAGACGCTTACTTCTTGGGAGGAGAGCAATGTCCAGTCTCGATAAAATAGTGAAGAGTAGAGACATCAGACTGGCAACAAAGATCCGCCTAGTCAAAGCCATGGTATTCCCTGTAGTAACCTACGGATGTGAGAGCTGGACCTTAGGGAAGGCTGAGCGAAGGAAGATCGATGCTTTTGAACTGTGGTGTTGGAGGAAAGTTCTGAGAGTGCCTTGGACTGCGAGAAGATCCAACCAGTCCATCCTCCAGGAAATAAAGCCCGACTGCTCATTGGAGGGAAGGATACTAGAGACAAAGTTGAAGTACTTTGGCCACATCATGAGGAGACAGGAAAGCCTAGAGAAGACAATTATGCTGGGGAAAGTGGAAGGCAAAAGGAAGAGGGCCCGACCAAGGGCAAGATGGATGGATGGCATCCTTGAAGTGACTGGACTGACCTTGAGGGAGCTGGGGGTGGTAACGGCCGACAGGGAGCTCTGGCGTAGGCTGGTCCATGAGGTCACGAAGAGTCGGAGACGACTGAACGAATGAACAACAACATTCTACAAAAGAGAAGCGTAGTTGCATGT